TTTAATCAATGTTATTACTGTGTTATTTTTGTGTGCAATATCATCCAGAAAAAAATTTACTATAATATCGCAACTAAGCACTCTTGCAAATTCGGTGGCGCAGACTGTCACACATCATGCTTTTTGTGTTATATGTAGAGACAACACCTCTCACCCAATGACATGTTTGAGGAGGACAGACGCTATTTATGTAGCCAGGATGGGGTCTCTCTTTAGCCATTCATGCAGCGATGCTGAAAAATGTACAATACTGCCATCTGCTGGTGGTAAATCAATCCAGATTCATGAAAGCTTTCTTTGAAATGTGTTTCTTGAAATGAAGTAATTTTATTTGCTTAAAGAATATAGATATAAAATATATACAGGCACAATGCGACATTTATTTATTTTGTTGGACATCTAGTTAACCGATAGTTAGTTGTTTGAGCAAGCATTCACAAGTCCAAACACATCCATGCTAATGGTGTACATTATTATACCTTTCTGTACTGATTTCATTTTACTATTTCTGTCTGTGTTTGAATTCATTTTACAGTAAATGATGAGTGTTTGTTTTGCCAAATATAAAAAAATAAATATTTATATAATGTAATAATTCTAATATAGAATAAATTTACTTTCTGTTGACTATATTTTGCAATTACATGTCAACTGATTTTCATTAGAAGCATAGAAGTTGAGAATTCAAGCACTCTTTTGGTTAGTCTTGACTGATTGTCATGCACTTAAATATTATTTGCAATCAACAGAATATTGTACAAAGGGGGTCATTCAAATGCACATCCTAGGAAGTACCTAATTATTACTTTAGGTTAAAGTGATGAGGTTGTCATGAGGATAACAATAATGAGTATTCAAAAAGCTACTCTCCAATAGGGCAGTGTTGTTAAATACTGATTTTTCAATTCTGGTGCTAAAATATTTAAGCTGATTATACTTGGCTTAAATAATGCTAGAACCTTTATTATAGGAACATACGTTATATGCTATTTTTTCTATATTGAAATTGAACTAAGAAAGGTCGCTGGTTTGAGCCCTGGCTGGGTCAGTTGGAGTCTGTGTAGAGTTTGCATGTTCTCTTTGTTGGCGTGCTTTTCCTCTGGGTGCTCCAGTTTCCCCCACAGTCCAAAGACATGTGGTAGGTGAATTGGTTAAGCTAAATTGGCCATAGTGTATGAGTGTGAATGCAAGTGTGTATGGGTGTCTCCCAGTACTTGGTTGCGGCTGGAAGGGCATCCGCTGCAAAATAACAAATGCTGGATAAGTTGGCAGTTCATTCCGCTGGGGCGACCCTTGATTAATAAATAAAGGGACTAAGCCAAAAAGAAAACGAATGAGTGAAATTGAACTGCATAGTTTCACATGGATAAACAACACAAGATATTTTAATATTTTGAACTAGAAAAATTTGAAGAAATTAAAAGAAAAACATTGAGCTCTGCTTGTACAAATGATGAAAGACACAAGTATTGTAATTATACTAATTTAAATTCAAATATCATTAATTAATATTTATTTTAACCTGCACTTGTATTAAAAAATAAAAAGTTAATGTCTTGTAGAACAAGAGCTAAATAAAATTATAGTTTTTTTATCATAAAGTTGTTTAACTTCAAAAAATTACCAATGTAAAATGAGACCATATTACATCAACAACAACCACAACAAAACTGAATATTAATTTTGAAATTCAGTATAAAATATAAACATGCTCTTAACACTGTGGCATTTTTCCCATGGTATTTAATAATAATATTCTTCAAGGAATCACATTGAAGTTCTTGTGCTATGACAACAAAATCAAAGGGAGTTTAATAAATTAAGAACAGCAGTTTAGACTGGAGAACTTTACCCAATGTGTCAAAAGTGTTGTTGTTCACTATGATGTGACATTTTTAATGATTTGAATTCATCCTTTAAACATGTATTAACCTGTTTTCTCTTAATTTATATGCAGGCCAAAAATGATGAGAAAACAGAAGGAATATTGCCATCGCAGATTATATTATGATGAGTAAAATATAACATATTCAGGAGAATATTTGGCTGGAATAAATAATTTTTTTATTTTTATTTTTTGTTTTGGTTACAGAACAAACCACCAATCCATTGTACAATTAATAATGGGCCTAGTGATTAAGACTTTTAAAATAGCACTTTAAGCTGAATTAAAGTTTCTTGCAAAATAGCTAGTAAAGTTGTATGTACTGTCATCATGGCAAGATAAAAGAAATTAGTTCTTAGAGATTAGCCGTTAATTGTTATGTATAATGTTAAAAAACAAAAACAACAGTTCTGATAGTCAACATTTAGGAAGTATTTGGAAAATAATTCATTTTAGGAGGGCTGTTAATAATGCCTTTAACTGTGTGTGTGTATTTACACACACATGGATATGTAGAGGCAATCCTAATTGCTGGTTTTAATAGTTATAAATATAAATAGGAATAAATAAATATAAAGTGTACATAGGGAAAATAACTTGTTGGCTTCCGGTAGGTCCAGGCATATGTGCACTAATATCTAGTAAAATATTATGTAGCCTACTGTTATCATGGCAAAGATAAATCTGTTATTAGAAATGAGTTTTTAAAACTAATATGTTTAGAAATATATTGAAGAAAGTCTTCTCTTTCTTAAACCGAACTTGGGGAAAATATAAAATAATTAAAATTTAACAGGAGGGCCAATGAGGAGGTTGTGTAAATGATTTTTATTTTTATTTTACATATGCTTTTTCAGATATGCCATAGTTAAAATGTGTGCAATTAGATTGGTCAAAAGCTACAAGATTGTTCTACTTGGAAATGTGTTGAAAGTTGATGTTTCTCAAACAGCTGCTCTGCTCCCTGAAGAACAATGCAAATGGTAAAATTCAGTCCACTTTTAAAAGGGGCAGTTCACCCCAGATTGCTGTTAATTTATTCACCCTCCTGAATAATTGAAATGATGTTCAGTTTCTTGCACAAATTGACTGCTTTGATGTAGTGTCAGGAGCCATGAGTGCTTTTAGATTTACCTACAGGACACACTTTTAGGTTCAGTCTTTTCCCATTTTGAAGTCTCCCACATTTCTCCAAATAAATGACAATAAAGTGACCTTTGGACCAGTTTTATTTCTGGTGAGACTTTGTGAGACTGTAAAGAGCAATGGAGCTCAAAGATTTCTTAGTTATCACAAAAAACAGCAAAAGTAAGTCTAAGGCACTTGCAAAATGTTGTAAAAAATATTAAAAAGCCTTTGCTGACATGGCTATTCCTTAAAACTGCACCAACGCATTTCAGCAAACACTTGCCTTCATCAGGGTAACAGAAATTAGGTGCTACTGGAGTTTCTTTTAAACACTATGGTCTCATTACTTATTACAATATCTCAACAATATTAAAATAATATATTGGACACAATGTCAACTCAACAATCATTATTTATTCAGTATTGAGACAGAAAAGAATTAAAATCAAACAAAAAAGATGAGTCTTATATATAGTCATCTATATCATCTTGTGTATAGAGTGAAACCACCAAAAAAAGTATATAAACAGGGTTATAGTGTCCAAATACATAACCCACACACATATATACATTTTTTATACATGTTTGATTTTGGATATTTATTATTTATCGTTATCCCTTTGGCTATAATTTGGATAACCTGTTATTGGAGGCTTTCAGCCACAGAGGCTTTTCAGTCACTCTTGCAGTCAGTGAAATCCGGAAAGTTTGGCTGACAGTTAAATATGGTTTGTCAGATAATTAAGGAACCTACCGCCAGGTCCCAGATAAACCAGTGACTGTGAGGATATTAAAGTGTTCTGCAGAATATGTAACTCATGAATTGTTTAAACTAGTATAACTCCTGTTACAGTCAATTCAAGAACTACTAAGGAGTGGCCTTGAAAATTGTAGGTTGTTTTCTAATTTGTTCTCAAATGTTTACATTTAATATTACTGACTATTTCTGCAAGTAATCTATTGTTTAATCAAACTATTGGTCTTAACAGTAACAATAAAGTAACTTTATACAGTGTCCTTGTAATAATGTTTTTTTTTTTTTTTTGTATTTACCCTGATATCTGAAGACTGAACAAATAACTCAAAAGCCTGATGTACAATACACAATTTTATTGAATTTCATCCATAATTGAACTAAAACAGTATAAATGAACCAAAGTGGTAAAAACACACATGCACATTCACTCCTAGAAACACATTTCTCACTCCCTTCGAAATAAAGCTTTCATTCACTTTAACATCTCTCCTTCCCTGAAACAGAGTGGTTCAGAGAGGAACGTTTTATCGTGGTTTTAAAACATATCCCTCATGGTCTTCATCAAACATTCCCAAAATACAGCGCACAGTATTTTGCTTAAAATAATTCACTACTGCTAGTAAAGACAATGAACATCAATGTTTTTTTTTCCCCATAACAGTGGAAATGGTCATTGGTATCATTTGCAAGATTATCTTTCATGTGTGACTTCTTTTAAAAACGAGTTTGCCATCCTACTACACCTTCATGTATGTACGTATAAACAAAGTGATTATTGCTGGTTTGCCACTATACTGCATATGAGTCATCTGGGGTTCCTTAACATTGTAAAAGGTAATAAATATGAAAGAATACCAGGCTCAAAGAAAGTGATTGCACTTAATTTGCTAAGACCCCCAAACCTGCACACTAGCCCAGTGATACCTCTTTATTTAGACAGAGAAGCTGCTACAGGTGAAAAGCAATACACAATGAATAGAATACAAAAAAATAAAATAAAAAAATTGACTGTACGGGTGAAAGTGACAAAAGCACTTAATTCTATAATACAAAGGCAATCACAGATTGCAAACCTTCGAGGCCGCAGTAAAATGTCTTCCTGATGTTTAGTTATCAAAAGTTTCCAACCTTTTGGTTTAGAAACTTTAAAAGGACTTCATTACACCATTTTATATGATTCTACATTGTGAATTTACATTAATACAAAGAGCATCCTTGTTTTTTTTCTTCTGTTTGACTCTTTCTTCAAGGTGCCACTTAACGTCTCGATAGCTAATGTTTCTAGTCTTACTTTTGGTTTACATTAGCAACAAAGTATGGTAAAAACACGATCAATTCAGTCAGTATACTACACTAACCAGTCGGCACAAATGTGATTGGCAATCAAAGCTCTCTGGTATTCATAGTAATACTCAAAGTGGTCAGTCTTTAAGGGTAGCTCAAAAATCAAACTACAACTAATCCTATATAGACAGTACACAGACCTCTTTGGATATTTTAGGTATTCTTGTATTTATTCCCTTTGATTTCTTCTTTCAGTTCTCCAGCACAAAGTAAAACTAAAAAAGTGTGAATTTTCACACTGTCTTTTTTCCCCCTGGTCTTATCCATAGGACCAGCACACGCTCAATTGTAGATGTGGTTTCACAAGTAGTTTCATCGTCAGTGAAACCAGCTATGATTTTTTTTTCACAGTCCTATAGTGGCACTTCAGCAACCGTAACACTACTGCTAGGAGCTGTAACAACAACAACAACAACGACGATAATGACGCTGATGGTAGTAATGAATGCCAGGGGGAATCTTTTGGCTATTCAGAGGTGTTGTTCATGGCACATTGGGCCAGCTCAGACCAACCCGCTCTTTCTTTTCTTTTATAGTTATAAAGAGGAGCAAAATTAAAAGCAGAAGATACGCTTGGATAGACACCAGGGACGCCCAGTATAGAATATCAGATGTCCTTTTTTGGCACTCTTCGAAGCTCACTTCATGCCCTCTGACACCTGTTTAGTCATTATGAATCTTCTCAGTCGAGCCCTGTGGAAGAAGACAGACAGTCTGTTAGGTGAAAATACAGTATATTCACAACCAAATAGATACAACTGAAAAACAGCTCAATTTGCATTAAGTCCCTAATTTCCATAAAATATAGGAATGGGCATAAACTACACCAGCGTACAATACAACCAAAAAGCAGCATTAATATGCAGAAACTATCCTGACTATATTATTATGTATTAGTCAGAGCACTTGGCTGACTTTCAAACTACCTAAATATGTTCCAGCATGTTCCCAGGTGTGCTTTTAAAAATGTGCTTTGAGCAACTCAAAATTGGTTTTCATGAAGCTGAGCCTGATCCCGTTAAACCCACTTGGCCTCTCAACACTGTGGCCATAATTAGTATGCACTATATATAAGAAATGGGCTTTGTATATGTTAGGATTATATGTGGATGGGCAGCCTTGTAAAATTTGATAGCCCCTCGTAGGTCAGCACTGTCTGCCATGCCTCACCCAAGGGCAGCTGAATCCGTCTTTAGGAAAGCTAATGTTGAAATAAAAATGACAACGTTTCATATACAGGCAATGTTCTCTAAATGATTCCAGTGCACCTACAGTACACAACGAAATGACGATGATAAAAAGGTAAAGGTGTTAATGGTGTAAACTAGATATCGAACTATTTAATTAGTCAGATGTTAAACCAAACTATGTAGAGTGACCATAATTGATGATCATAGTTGTATTCTAAAATACAGCCATTATTTACATGAAAAGATTAACAAACGCAAACGTCCGGGTTTACTAGATTTATTTACCTCTAGTTTTTTTAATCAACTCTATCTCTTAACTGGCCCCTCCATAAAGAAAGCTGGGAAAAATACTAGCAGAGCACTAATCCCAATTGGTCAAGCAAAATCAGCCGATGCCAGCTCGAAAACAAAAAGCATCCAGTAACAACGTGTAGAATGCACCACTTGGAGCCAGTAAAGCACTTTGTTTACCATCTCTCTGACCATTAGCATGAAAAACAAGGAGCGTAATCTTCTTTCACGCCCTTATTGAGAAAGAACTAGGGTATGTCAGCAAGACAAAGAGCCACAGCTGACTGAGAAGGCTTGGAGGGGATGGCACAAACAAGCTAATTAAGATGTCCAAGCATGACGTTTCTGCTCAGGCGCTAGAGGGTGTCAAAAGAACACTAAAATGGTAAACTGGTTGCTTTAAAGAAATACATTGGATACTGAAAATAGTTTATACATATTTAAGAGAATGCACAAAAATCCTAAATCCTAGTTTTCATTTATTTAAGGCAGATTTAAAACTTAGTTAGCTTATTTTTATAAGTATAAATGAATATTACAATACAAACTGCCTGCCACTTTTCAGCTACCTAGTTTGTTCACATCTAGATAGTTTTACCTTCATCAAATACAATAACCCAAGCCATCTTTACACTTCCTTTTGCTAATGTTAAACTTGATTCCCAACCTAATTGGAATCAGTTTATGAAAGCCACAAGTCCTGTTTTAATGACTGTCTTTTAATGTCATTTAGAAAATAATCCTGTCTGAACAGAGCTTACGGCTGCATGCTAAATTGTACACATTGAAATTGTTGAGTTAAATATTCTGGCTCCAAGTTTGATTTACTTCCTAAAACACGCAGGCTGGATACAAGTAGAAGAGGAACAGCTGAATAGCTGATGAGCCAAGATATTGAGTTTCACTTTTGCTTTAGCTAAAGCTAAGTTTCATTTCTGCCATTTATTTATTTTAAGCTAAACAAAAGTGGCCATTGGCTTTGTGCATAACACAAGAGGAAACTAACCACAATACATGAGTAATCAAGTACATCAGTTATTCTGTGGAATATGAAAGACTGGAAAAGGGGGCTGGTATGAGGGGCAGTTTCTTACCATAGCTAGTTGTCTGCCAATATTTCCAACAGTCACTCCGCCAGAGAAGAATATACAAGGCAGCCATGAACGGACATACAAGAAGTCTGGAGAAGTATACCTGGTAACAAATGAAGAAAAGGACTGAAATGACGAGCTGCTTAAAGGAAAAACAAAACTGAGTGTTTGCACTTGATATAATATTTGCTAATGTTTCTTACAAAAAAAACATGTTCTACGACTAAAATTATGAATATGTGAGAGTGTTAGTTACTTGCTAGTTGATATGAAAACAGTTTTCTGTTGCTGTTTGTCAACATGTTTGAGTCATAACTTACTGGTAGATGCCGTTGTAGACCAGCAGCTGAGCAATGAGAGTGGCCAGCAGGGCAGTGGTCAGCCCTAAACCAAAGCCACTCCTGGAGCGGTCAAATGTCCACCACAGACCCAGAGACAGGGCAGCCAGAGTTAGCGATAGCTGCACATTGTTAGCAAAGTCCAGTTTCTGTAAGGTACTTTGAGTTAAGCAAAATATTCTTATGTTAACATACATTTTGAAAACATTGTGATGTTAACTCAAGAATTGAGTTTGTGCAGGTTCCCAAGTTTTTGCTGGTCCACACATTTGGAGAGCAGTAAACAGGTTCCACAAAAACTTTGTAGTCAAATTTATTAAAAACTTTTTTTTTTAGTTCTTAAAAAACCCAGTTCTCATTTACATGGGGTTTCTTGGCAATGAAGTGCATGTTACTGTTTGAGTTCAGAGTTAATGTAAAGTTTTAAGGTATATTTACATGACAACAAAAAATAAAAACTTTTATGCATTTTTGCTGTTCATTTACCCAAAAACACAGACTCAGAGTCGTCAAAACAAAACTTAAAAAAGGTTAAATGATATCGTGTGCAGAGTTTTCAACTTCTGGCCGGGTCAGAGTACTGAGCATTTCTAGTCATTTTTCAGCGTTATTACAACTATCCTCAATACATAAGACTTTTTAAAAATATTAGATAAGCATAATTCTCGTTGCATAGATTATTGCTGTGTAAATATGTTTAGTACTTTAACGGGTCACCCCACTTTTTTAGTTTAGCCTTTGATGTATAATTTGTCAAGATAAATTCAGGTTCAGACAAAAACAAATAAATATGTGACAGTTAAGAGATTAAGAAAAAAAAGGATTTGTCTAATGCTATTGAATAGTAACATGGCTTATTACAGACTTAAAACAAAAATCTCAAAAAGGTTTGGAAGTTTTCATTGTCCACAATGGTTGCAACTGTAAAAGTGTCACTGTTAAGGATACAGCACTGGCGTGATTGATGCCCACAAAGACAGCAATGCAGCGCATCACGCTTGCCCACTCCCGCTTGAACTTGTGTGGTTCTCCAAGATGGTGGTCCAAGCAGGGGTACAACAGACCAACCACAGCTGAGAAGAGAAAACAGAAAGTACTTTAAACAACATTCATTGAAAGGGGGAAAAAAGAAGAAGAAAAAAACATTTTTTACATCTGCTTGGTATTGTTTGACGCCTTTTAGTATATAAATAATGGGTGATGACTTTTGTGTTTAAATAAATCTCATAAGAAGAGTTCAAGTACAACAAAACTCTTTAAAAGGCATTTTCTACTGAAAAGGATGTAAACTGATACGCGTCCACATCACCACTATGAGGAATGCAGGGGGAGGAGTCGAGCGTGACCGAATTATTTATTAATTTCTGCTGCACACGACTTCCGTGTTTCTCTTTTCGGGTAAGTGGCATGTTCGGCGTACCAGCCAATGGCGTGCCTCTCTCGCAGCTCACCCGTTCTGAGCGCAGCCAATGAGAATGCAGCACCCCAAGAATGACCCCAAATGCCCGGCTGTTACCAGGGCAGCGCTTACTGATAGCTACAAAGCCCAATGTCAACAAAACTGTCCCCGAATCACTCATCTTACATAAAAGACACGATAACAAAAAGCCCTCAGCAAGCACACCGTCTTTGTTTGTTATCGTCACGAACAAAGCATTCGAGCCCAAGTGTTTCAGACAGACTCACCAGCAGCGGTGCCACAGCAGAGGGGAATCCACCAGGCGGACGAAAATAGCGTGTCCAGCACTTCCTCTGGAAACAATGTAACGTTTCTCTGGATCTGTAGCAAGTTTAACACCAAAGCGAGCACAACTCCCACGATAAACAACACAAGCCCCCGTCGAATTAAATTGGCGGACTGGAGGCTGTGCAGAGAGCCGTACGCGTGGCTCAGCACTGAGGTTATGATGGACATCATTTCACCCGTTTTACAGACAATCCAGCCGGCGCTTGACAGGTCCTTCGTCTTCACACTGGTCGAACAGGAGCAGCTCCAACAATGTTCCTCTAGTCTTGGCATTTGGCACTGTTGGAAAACAGTAATACTCATTAATAATTATCACTAACTTGATCAAATAAAATAATGTTGAAAGTCAAGTATTACGCTACAAAAAGCAGTGCTGTAGCCCAAAAAACAATCTGTTCCCAATGAGTATGAAGTGGAAGTAAAGGGAATGAATAGGCTACCCACCTTGATCTTTTAGCGATGTCTTCGTCTAAAGCAGAACACGTCTGTGCTTTCAAAACTCTTTTACAAAAACGAAAGGCTACCTACAAATAGTTTAGATGTGTTGTTTGATCACATCATCTGTAAGAGAAATACTGCTGCCTCTTTTCATCCCTCAGTTGAACACTGCCACACGCGCGCTTCCTCTGCAGAAAACAAGCGCGGTCATGTCTGGTGAGTCTCTCTAGCCAATCAGAGTGCGGCGGGCCATATGACGCGAACGCGCGCCACCCCTCTCTGACAGACACGCGCTGTTGATGTTCGCCATCAGCTGTTCGCCTTGTGTGTGTGTGTGTGTGTGTGTGTGTGCGTGTGCGTGTGTGCGTGTGCGTGTGTGCGTGTGCGTGTGTGTGTGTGTGTGTGTGTGTGTGTGTGTGTGTGTGTGTGTGTGTGTGTGTGTGTGTGTGTGTGTGTGTTGACGCTATGCCAGAGTCATGCAGAAAAGTCTTAAACTTCTAGATTGGTTAAGTTTAATGACCTTGCTTTGCTAAATCCTTTTCAGTAACTAAGCAATACAGCACTGATTCGAGATTTTCTCAGTGTTCAATATTGCTGTTCTCCTGTTTGCACAAAACAAACTACTTGTTGGGTAAATGTATTTGTAATCTTTTCAGGGTACAGACAAGAAAGCTTTTTGCTGATATGAACTTTTTTTTAGTTCACTATGAGTGAACAGGCCCTGAAAGTGTATGAGATAATGCGGATTTGTTGGCTATACGTGACAGCGTGCAGTACGTGTCCGTGAGACTGAAAACAAGAAATCAGGTCATGATGCTCAGTGGGCTGTTCCCCCACTGTAAATAAACTTGTGTACTTATAGTTTATTGATTCAGAGCAGAACAGAGTTCAGTCTCTTACCTCAGTGGAACCACTCCTCACCAGATAAATGAGTCTGATGTTTGCCCCTTGTCAAGAATGACTGTCAACAACTCTTTAGCTGCTGTTTTTACAATAAAGGTTCCAAAATGGGCTTTTCGTTGCAGTGCTAGAAAATAACCATTTTTGATATCTAAAAAGCTTTTGTGTTGATGAAAGTTCAGAAAAGAAGCATTATTTTATTGGTGTGAAAGACATCCTAAACACATTAATGAACCTTTTTTCAACAGAGAAACTTATGTGCAATGGAAACGTGCTGTGGATGTTAACGAGTCACGAAACACCAAAACACATTTTTTTGAGATGTTGACAATCATAAATATGACTCACGTTGCTAAAACACTATTAGGACACATATATTTCACAAAAAAGTGAAAATTGGTGGGTTTTGCAATATTTGAGCCAATTCATTCTTCAGATTTAAAAAGAAATTTTGAAGCTGCGTTACGGCCATGAGATCATAGTGTAAATTCCAGCATGGAGACTGGATGTCTGAACCGGTACAACATGATGTCTGAGTTTTCAGCATAAATTCATTACAAAGACTTGGTTCGAACCAATCAGCGCGCTCTACTGTGAATGAGGTGCAACTTCATTAATATGCATGATATAGTTCAAAGACGGTTTTTACCTGTTACAGTGCCCAGATGACCAACCATAATTAAAACAAGTAGTAGAAGAAGAATTGTTTGGAGATATGGATCGTCAGTGTTTTTTTTACCAGATGAGCTTTTCACATCTGGAAATGGTGAAATCCAGATTTGCCGCTTTCCTTCTTTTAAAAAAAACGCGGTTCTAGTTGATGTTGATTGTCCTGTCTAGTTTTGGTAAGCGATCAGTGTTCTTTGTTTATGTTAATTAAGATGGCAAACTGCGATATCAAATTATATTAAAACAACACTCTTCCAGCTGTTAATCTCATCCAATATCTTGTTTGTCACAGGGGGCATGAATGAAATGTTCCTGAATGAAAGTGAAAGAGTCAAACTGTAGTTGAAGTCAACAAATTAAAAATGAAACACCCGAAATTACATCAAATTACATTACTCCGGAGGAAATGTGGAAATGTGGATAGCGTGATGACGTTATAATCGAATTTTGTGCTATAACATGTAAAACAGGATCATGAAAGGAACATTCAAAAAGCTACTCATAAACACCTTAATCATAATATTGCCATATTCAGAAATAATTTGATTACTGATTTCCATGTAAACGTGTCTATCTCCACTCCATTAGCTTCTGCTCTGGAAAGACGCTTCTTTGGAAATCACAATATTCTTAATAATCGGCTAATAAAGTAAAGCGCTGAAGTGAAACCCTTTTCTCTAATACTCTGTTTCAGCTGGAATTATGTCATAATACTGAAGTCTGTTTAAGACCTAAGGTTCCTGCAGACTATAAGTACGCACATGTTGGAATGTTCAAAAGCAGTCTGAGAGTTTTGCAAATAAATTGGGAGTAAAATATCTGTTACAACTTTCAGTGATTTTTATAAGTTTAAAACTTTTTTAAAACAGCATGTTTGGAATTAAGACAGTAAAATGCTATCCAATTCTTAACCACTATATTCACCACGACTGTATCGTGTCAGTAAACATAATGTGTGTGTGTGTGTGTGTGTGTGTGTGTACTGCAAACAGCATTTGTGTGAGATTCATAATTTCAGGAAGGCTTGAAAAAACTCCACCACAAATACATGAAATAAACTTGGTATTTTTGATGAATAACTGTATTTCAGCTTTATTCAAGTCTGTCTCTGTCGCTGTGCTGTTTATCTGACATACCGCATGATCAGAAGCAGACACACACATGGGAAGGTGGGCAGAGAGAAGAAGCTCATTTGCATTTAAAGCCACAGGCTACAAAAACAGCTACACTGTATTTAGACACCAAAAATGGGCAAATTCTGGAGGCTTTAAAGGGCCATGAACCCCCCCACTTACGGTTTAAGTCTACCTCAGAAATTTAAAAAAAAGCATCATAATGGGTGTGGAGCTCCTTGAGCAGAGGCAGGAGTGGGTGTGGCCAGCAGAGCAGGGGAGAAGGAGGGGAACTGTTGTCAGTTGGCAACACAAAATGAGACACAAACCTTGAGGAGATCCATGATTTTAAGGTTTCCAAAGTTAAAATGCAAAGAAATAAACAGTAATATAATGCCCTGCTACATTTGTTTTTTTTTTGATGATCAACAAATCTTTAAAAACCTCAACAACAAAAAAAAAGTGCTCGAGGGTTTCCTGAACCTTTAATAAATAATCAGATGGGTATTTTGAGCTGAAACTTTACAGACACATTTTGGAGACACCAAAGGCTTGTCTTACATCTTGTGAAGGGTGTAAAATAGGTGCCCTTTAAAAACTAAAATTTAGGAAGATCAACATCATGCCTCTTATATTGTGCGACTAAAGTCTTAATTATTAGACATGTTTATTATTTACGGTTTGGCATCCAGCAGTAAAAAAATCCTCAGTACAATTGAGTATTTTTATTAACAAGTTTGCAGTGGAGCAGGGGGTAGTATGTTCACCTCATAACAAGAAGGTCGCTGGTTCCAGCCTCAGCTGGGTCACTTGGCATTTCTGTGTGGAGTTTGCATGTTTCCCTGTGTTCGCGTGAGTTTTCTCTGGATGCTCCGTTTTATCCCACAAGTCCAAAGTCATTTAGTACAGGTGAATTGGGTAAGCTAAAATTGACCGTAGTGTCTGAGTGTGTGTGAATGAATGAGTGTGTATGGAAGTTTCCCAGTGATGGGTTGTGGCTGGAAGTGCATCTGCTGCATAAAACATGCTGGATAAGTTGGTGGTTCATTCCACTCTAGCGACCTCAGATTAATAAAGGGATTAAGTCGAAAAGAAATTGAATGAATGAATGAATAAAAAGGTTTGTTGCAACGAGTCTTGAATTGGTCATAGTCTCAGTCATTGTGGGGTTTAAAATTAGGCTGATAGTTTGTGTGACCAGCACTTAGCCTAAGAATGTATGTAGCACACAGGTGTCAATTCTAGTTCCTGGAGGGCCAGAGCTCTGCACAGTTTAGTTTCAACCCTATTTAAACACACCTAATCAAACTAATTAAGTTCTTTAGGCTTGTTTGAGACCTACAGGTAAGTGGGTTGAGGCAGGGTTGGAACTAAACTGTAAAGAGCTAAGGCCCTCCAGGAATTCGAATTGACACCTGTGATGTAGCACATGAAAAATATGTTACCCGTCACAGTTTTAAAGTTTATACCTTTAAAAAAAAACAATTATGAGTAAAATCAAAAACACAAACACCTTCTCAAGGTCAATGACAAAGCCCATTCTGATTATTTTTTTACTTCTTTTTAAATATAAACCTTGGCCATGTTTGGATCCAGAGGCTGTCATTGTTGTAGTAAAAACCTATTGATTATTATTGTGAGTGGTGAAATATTGAAACAACTGACGCAGTTGACGGTAGTATCCTCTACATCTATAGGCTTAAAGGCAGCATGCTCAACATGTCTTATCGTTCATGTGAGGACGTGATTGCATAACTGTGCTAACATGATCATAGATACGCAGGTACAAAAACAACATATACATAGCGGATATGTACATAACAGTTGTGTTGACTGTTAATCAAGCACAAGCAGTATCTCTGGCCTTAACCCAGATACGTGTCTCATATACTGTGCTACAATGGCAGGTACTGAGGATCCATTCTTTGATCCCTGTTAAATGCCGGATCTAATTAAATTTTTCCATTCAGTTTGGTTTCTTTTTCTAAAGCTTTTCTCAATACACATTGTTCCAAAGCAGCTTTACAAAGAATAGTGCCAAAGGCAGCAGCAGTTGAAAAAACTCTGTACAATCTTATGCATATACGGAAGTGAGAAACCTTCTGAGACTGGGGAAGTCTTTGTCCCAGGACTGGCTTATACTTAAATAAATCCATGACAAATTACACATACAAATATCTGCTTCATCAATCATATTATCCTGCAATCGTTTATATTGCCCAAGAGTAAAATAAGCACATTTATATTGTTGAGCTGGGAGATTAACATAAATCCATTGTTAACTTACTTCACATTATCTGGGTGAAAGTACCAAAACTCACAGCTTTGGAAGAAAATCCTTTTAGCTACTGGCTGAAGTGAATCATTGTTCACAATTATATTGTTTTACTGAGGGTAGACTCTGTCTGTTCCAATCCTCAAGAAAACACGAGAAGAAAAAGTTTGCTGTGTGATCAAGAGATTTTCTTTATATATATATATATA